GTATTGGGGGACGGTGTAGTATGGAATGGTACATTGAGTCCCTTGTGTTGGTGTACGGTGGTTTGGTGGGTCTCTCAGGTAGTTTCCTCTATGTAATATAAGTCGTGTCCTGGCAGGATGGACCGGGAGGGTCTCCAGTACGGCCTCTTGCCCTCGTCCAGGTGACATTCAGTCATCCAGCTCCTCATTCCTCCTCGCGATGGCCACCAACCGGCGGAAAGTGAGGTAACATTATTTCCCTAGCCTTGTGTGCAGTGCATTGTGGGTGGTCTGTGGTATCTGTGGTCCCAGAATCCGTGTACATTGTGTGTCATATCCGCGGAACAACCACAATATTCCGTGTCCTTTGACATCCGACCTCCCACCGGAAGGATTCTCACTGGTTAGAGTCACGGACGGGCGGGAAGTGACACAGAAGGAAGCTGCGGGATGACAAGTCTGCCGGATGGGTATGACGCCCAGGAGCTGACGCTCCGCGCTGATTGTGTCATAAGCGGATTGGCCATACTTACATCATTCTATATGAGCTGGTCATGTGACATCTCCAGGGGCCATGTGATCCAAGGGGATGGTCATAGTGGCCAATCGGAGAGCAATGTGCAGAGTACAGCTGGTCAGAGTGGCCAATCACAGAGTGTCTTTGCGGCGGACGCGCCCGGTCTGAACCCCGATACGCCCATCCCACGTGACCATACGCAGTTCTGAACCGTGCGTGCCGACGCGAAGATGTGGCGATACCACTCTCAGCCTCACCCCGCACAGTGAGTCTTCTCCAAGCAAGGCTTGCACGGGTGATGTCCAGATATTAAAGGGGAACTCTTCTGGGATGTTACAAACCTCTTGATGTTGCTGGAGTCCCTGTCAGGATCCGGATCTGAAACCAGAACCTCTGCTGTGTCGGACGGGGGTTCTACCTGCTGAGCCACTCTGAAACCTTGGATAGCTCCTTGCCTGATCTCCTGTGTAATCCTCAGGTAAACCCAGATATTAAAGGGGAACTCTTCTGGGATGTTACAAACTTCTTGATGTTGCTGGAGTCTCTCTTCTTAATGTTAAAACAAGAGCCCCCCCCCCCCTCTAGCCGCCTTGCAGCATCTAGGGGAGGGGGAGCAGGAGGGATAAGCCTTTACGATGACCTTCTCTGCTGCTCCCCAACCGTCAAACTCATACCTAAGAATATAGTTGAACGTTCATACGCAATGCTGTCCGACAACCCCTATAGTATTGTGCGCCATGAAATGAGCTTTATATTGAGATTAAACTTGGCGTGTATATGAATTATGGTTGGCCCAGGAGGGTTCATGTGGCCGGTCGGGTCCATTATCCTTGTGTTTACCTCAGCCTGTCAAATGCTAATGTATTGGTGATCTGCAATGATGCCTGGCTGACTTTCATTCGGGTTTCGTCATAAGAAAGGTTAGGAGGGTAGAACTATGAAGGTCGCAGGCCAGAGTAGCAGATTTGTTGCTGGAACCAAACACGGGGCAACCTGAGATCATGTGACCTGAATTGAGGGCGTTTTTGTTCTCATATGAGGGAAAAGAATGAATATTGATATGTGCAAACCTCATAACCGTCCTCCCTGACCTAACGTCTCTCATGTTGAAGGTAACGAGGACCTGGTTGCTATGGGTTACTGAAGCTCTTTACTCCATCTCTATCTTTTCCGGGGCCCTTCTCTTGAGTCCTTACTGCAGAGCTGTGTTTGCCTGATGAAGGGACCTTGTTCGATCCCGCAACATTGCTTTTACACTGTGCCGCCATGTCTGCATAGCGTCTGAATAAAAGAGAAGTGCACAACATTGGACCTTGGAGTGCTGGTGACCTTCTTACTGGAGGGGAGCCACAGACTTTCCTGTCCTTGGACTCAGTTCCCCCTCCTCGCATGTCCCGGAGCCGGCGGACACTCCGCCAGGATTCCCATTGTCTTCCTCAGGAAAAGTGACCGATTCAGCATTTCTGTGTCCAGCCGCGTGTGCCCAGTCTCCGTACTCCGTGCGTCATCTCCGTCCTCCAAACATGATAACTGCAAACAGCAGCTGACATTTTCCAGAAGTCACTTGTCACCGGGGCCGGGAAACATGGCAAGGCCCCAGCGGCCCGTGTATGAGGCGGAGTCTGCTGCCTGGGGGGAGGGGGGGGGGGCAGGTGGCCTCTGTTATCACGCCTGAATATGGACAGAAAACCACCATATGAAGTGAACATTTCTCTGTGTTATACCCCTCGAAATACAAGATGGCGGAGTTTTAAACCTGCCCTGCCCCCAACCTGCCCTGTCGTATTGTACCCCAATCCCCAATTATTGTGCTCCTGCCATTATCTTGCTTCTGGCTTCCTGCACCTGATACCTTTGGCTGCTGATCCTCCGACTACTCTCATCGTCTCCTGCTTCATACCTGATACCTTTGGCTCCTGACCTCGGCTTGATCTCTGACTACGCTTCTGCCTGCTCCTCCTCTACTACCGTCTGCTTGTGTACCGAACCCGGCCTGTTCTACCACGAATAGCCTGCTGCTTCAGCTACTGGACTCTGAGCCTGATCCCAGATAGTGACAGTCCCTCTTCTTAAGTGAAAACAAGAGCCTCCCTCTAGCTGCCTCGCAGCATCCTTTTGTCAGCCCTCTAGGGCGGTGTCAATAAGCCGGCCCCTAGGGCAGGGCTGGGTAGGGGGAGCAGGAGGGATAAGTCTTTATGATGTCCTTCTCTGCTGCTCCCCAACCGTCAAACTCATATCTAAGAATATAGTTGAACATTCATACGCAATGCTGTCCGACAACCCCTAAATTATTGTGCGCCATGAAATGAGCTTTATATTGAGACCAAACTTGGCGTCTATGTGAATTATGATTGGCCCAGGAGGGTTAATGTGGCTTGTCAGGTCCATGATTGATATGTATGGATTTCTCTTTATTATACCCCAATCCCCCCTCTGTCCCTCTATTATACCCCCAATCCCCCCTCTGTCCCTCTATTATACCCCAATCCCTCCTCTGTCCCTCTATTATACCCCAATCCCTCCTCTGTCCCTCTATTATACAGGGACAACTCCTGACCACCCGGGACTGTCCCAGGAGATTTCCAGCTACAGTAATGCCGAGGACCAGAGAGAGCCACCATGAGCACACGGCATGCCGGCGTCACCATTTATGATCATGTGACATCACCGCAGTGTCAGCTCCATGTGTGGTGGACGTGTTTTGGGTTTATTCCGTGTGATGTGTTTCTTCTAGGATGTGGCCTGTACCAAAGCCCGATGTCTGGGCTCCGTCATGTTTCCATCTCAGATGATGTGTCCTCATCCGCAAGAACCAAAAAGTCCAGAACAGATTCTGCCCAAGGCCAAAGACTTCATCAACCAGTACTACAGCTCCATCAAAAGGTGACCACATGACCATTCTCGTCTTGTTGGGTTTGGAGGTGGGGGAAGTTCTTTCAGTTTTGGGTAGATGTTAGACGCTTGGGAACCCCTGCTGGCATCTTCTCAGCTACACCCATCTCCTGTGCCCTTCTCTAAGCCCCCCAGCTTTTCATCTAGTGAACATTATGCAGCGTCAGGAGGGAGACTAGATAGCATGCGACTATAATCCAACGGTGCCCACCTGAAAGTAAAATGCCTCTCTTCGGTGGTCCGGCAGGTAGTGAGGACTACACAGGAACGGCTTCTCACCATTAAACAATGTATTCTACGCCTCGGATTGTATCTGCTCAGTAGAACGTTCTGCATTCCTCTTCCAGGGCCCAGTCGAAGGCTCACATGGAGCGTCTGAAGGAGGTTGAGCAGGACATCACGTCCACAGGAACCTACCAACTCAAGGAGACTGAGCTGATCTTTGGGGCCAAGCAAGCTTGGAGGAACGCGGCCCGCTGCGTGGGAAGGATTCAGTGTTCGAAGCTCCAGGTGGGCAGGAGGCCGAGGTTTGA